CATGTACGAGAATTTTGGAGATATCGGAATGAATATTAAAAAGATGGTGGATGATTTTCAGCAAGTTGCGAAAAGCAATCAGAAAATTCAAACAATAGGTTTGTTTTTTCCCTCACTTGTGCTTTGTTGTAGATATCTCAAACCATATGTTCTGCTTCTTGGTCGTGTATGACCTTTAGGGTGTGTTTGTTTATAAATTTCTTCAATCCATACTTAGTATGTACTCAAAATCTAACTCAACTTTTAACTCAACCCACTATTCTCAATATTATTATCAATATAATTAGATAATATTAATCAATTATTTTTATACATCACATAAACTTTAAATTCACTCACATAATTTTAACTAACCATTACTTCAATCATCTCTCTCCTACTTTTACATCAAATCAACTTTAATTATTTATTTTAAATATTATTTTAAGAAAAACTCAAAATCACACCAACCATTAACCATACAGCATTTTTCAAAATAAACCATAGTTAACCCAAGAAAAAAAAAAAAAAAAAACTGTTTTGAATATTTGTATCCAAGCACGCCCTTAATTTTCTCAGCTGGAGATGGTTACGAAAATGTTCACATAAGTTGAGTTTGTGCAGAGGACATGGCCAAATTTGTCGACAACTATCCGGAATACAGGAAAATGCATGGCAATGTTTCAAAGCACGTGACATTAGTTACTGAAATGAGCAGGATCGTTGAAGAACGAAAACTAATGTTAGTGTCACAAACGGAGCAAGAATTAGCTTGCAGTGGTGGGCAAGGGGCAGCATTTGAGGTACAATGAGGACCTTCTTAAACCGGAGCAAGAATTAGCTTTTTGTTAACTATCCTTCTGTAGGGAACTATCACTATAATAGATTTCAACTGTGTGTACCTTTTTCTCAGGCTGTTACGAATCTTTTGAACGATGAAAATATTTCCGATGTTGATCGTCTGCGCCTGGTTATGCTCTACGCATTGCGATATGAGAAGGAAAGTCCCGTTCAGCTGATGCAGTTATTCAATAAATTGGCAGCTCGGTCTCCCAAGTATAAGCCTGGGGTATTATACCATTTTCTCTCCCACCAATTTTTCTAGCAAACTCATTATACATGAAAACTTATGCTGATCTTAATAGACACATTACATTGCCTTTGTTGGAGTTACAGCTTGTGCAGTTCCTACTGAAACAAGCAGGGGTCGATAGAAGAACTGGGGATCTTTATGGGAATAGGGATCTGCTTAATTATGCACTTAACATGGCTCGTGGTCTCAAAGTTTGTCTTACAAGTCTTCTATTGTGATTGAAACCCACATAGATTCTAACTTCTAAGTGCCTAAAAAAATGTTGTTGTTTTTTTTTTTTTTTTTTTTTTTTTCATTTCAGGGGGTGGAGAATGTGTACACCCAACATCAGCCTCTGCTTTCTCAAACAATGGAGAGCATTGTTAAAGGACGTTTGAGAGATGTGGACTATCCTTGCGTTGGAAATCATTTCCAGCAAGCTAGGTGGGAATTTTAAATACGAGGCTATGTGATTGAATTATTTTCCTCAAAGATCCAGAGTTGCTTTTTTTTTTTTCTTCTTTTCGTTTACTTGTTGCTGCATATACCGGCAAGTTGCATTCAAAACGTGTAATTTATGGCTTTTCATTTTCTTTTTCATTTCAAGAAAACTTCGACTAACATATGTATATTTTAGTGTCCGCTGGATTATAGTCTTCTTTAACTATATCCATCCTATATATTTAACTGAGAGCATATCTAATTATTTAACAATTTGACAGGCCACAGGACGTTATAATATTCATTGTTGGCGGGACTACCTATGAAGAGGCTCGCTCGGTTTCTCTACAAAATGCTACTAACACTGGGATTCGTTTCATCCTTGGTGGTTCTACTATCCTCAATTCCAAGAGGTCTCTGTATTATGCAAATTATGTAATTACCACTAAGATTTGGCCGGATTTCCGAAAAAAAAAATGATCTTTAGCGAAAGATTAGTATCAGTGACACTACTAATAATAGTATTTCTGTAGATAGTCCTTTCATTGCACTTTATTGTTATTAAGATGTATGTCTCCACAGGTTTTTGAAGGACCTTGAAGAAGCAAAGAGAATTACTCGGACGAGCAGTAATGCGATTTGAGACCAGAAAAAGTGTAAGATAACCGTTTTTTAGGATTTTTTTTTTTTAACATTTTTTTCCCTTTATTCTTGGTTGAAACTGTACAGTCTCAACATCAGGTGACAAACAATTCTGGCCAATCGATTTTTGTTTCAACGATAAAAATTTGGCATAATCGATTAATTTTACGAAAAATAGTAATATGTTGTCCAATTATGTAGAAGGTGTTAGCTGAGCTTGTTTTCTGTTTAATCGTAGATTTTTTTGTTGAATATTGATACTATTATCTCCTGTAATGGGGAATTCTTGTTCGTACTTGACATTACACTCCATAAATTCTGCATTTCTATAGAGGAATTCATTTTTTATTTCAATATATATGTTTAATTCTATGATTATACATCAAAGAAGGTATAATTGTTTATGAAGGAATTTATTTATCATAAAATACTTCAAATATCTATTTATATGTATATTTCCCATATTAGTATGAAAAAACTGTACAAAATATAAAAAAAATAGGCGAGCAGATATTTTAAGTATCAATTATGGTTATGTTTGGTAAAATTAGCTGATAAACTAGCTTATAGCTTATCAGTAATTTTCGAGCTTATAGCTATGACTTATAGTTGAAAAACTAGTTTATATGAGAAAAGTGTGGTAAAATTAGCTGATAAACTAGCTGAAATAAAAATTCAACGAGTTTATTTGAAAAGCTACTCAAAGAAACTTATCAAATAAGCTCGAGCTTATTAAAAAAACTCGTCCTACCAAACGAGTTTTATTTGAATATAGAGAGATTGTAAGCTAACCAAATAAGTTGTAGGCTAGTTTATTTGTCTAGCAAACATAACCTATATGTACAAATTGGTTAAATGCATATTTTTTATCAACAATATCGAATAACTTAAAAAACTATGGGATTTCGTTCATTTTGAAATAATTTACTTGAACATATGTTTTTTCTATTAAATTTATATATATTTTACCAATAAAATAAAACTATGAGCAATTAAAATAATATTAGAGTCAAATTTTATCTTACTTATTTACAAAAAAAAAAAAATAAATAAATAAATAAATAAACAAATTATCTTACTTATCCTATATTCTCGTGGTCAGAAGATTTTTATGTCATAATGAGTCATACTGATTTAACATTATCTCATACATCATGTTTAATAAAAGAAATATGAATTGAAAGACTGAATAATATTAAATTTATTTATAAATTAAAAGCATTGTTTTTCAACTCGGACCGGTCCGACGGGTCGACTCGAGACTTATAAAGACAGATAAAAAGGTCTAAAATAGAGAGCTAGAACCTGTCCGGTTGGGCTATTTGGACCGGGTAACAATGGACCCGGTCAAAACCCGGCCAACCTGGTGTAGACCCGGGTCATTGACCTGGTTGGGTCAACCAAGTTGACTCGATTCCTATATATATATATTTTTATTTTTAATTTTTTAAATATTTTTTATATAAAAAAATAAAAACTATGTAAATATATGATATAGTAAATATTTTTAGTGTGAAATATAATTCTTTTAAGTTTTAACACTTTGATGTACAAATTTTATACAAAACATTTATTTTTGTTAATGTATATTTATATGTCAAAAATATTATATATATTACTTTAAAAATTTTAAAATTATTTATCCAATTCAGCAACTAACCCGATGACACGGCGGTTAAACTGGTAACCCAGTGACTTGCCCAGGTCGATTTTCGAGCCGGGTTTAAAAACTAGGAATTAAAGTAATCAACATGGAGTCAAAAGTCAAATTACAATTAGCTCGGTATAAATCCAAATAATTTCATATTTACCCCTAGAAAGTCATACAATAACTAATTTACCCCTGTCGAATTTACCAGAGGTCTACAGTTTGTTTGTGATCCGTTTCTCGGTAGCTAATAAAATCCTCGAAACACGACAAAGAAAGAAGTAATCATATGCAACCGACGGAAAATCAACCGGAGGGAAGATGTGCCCTGAGGAAAGCTAGAACGACGGCGGCCGGTGTTAGGAAGCCAATCGCGATGCTTCCTCCATGAATTCTGCCGCGTAATGGGACTGTGAGTTGCTCGTGTGCCGTCACCGTGATCTTGAGCATCTAGGTTTCTACCACTTTCAACCGTCCATGGAAAGTTGATGGATACAGAAAATCAGTGATAAAGATAAATAAGTAAAATGTAATCTGATTATCTGAACGACTTTTGTTTTGGTATCACTGATTACTGTTATTTTATTATTGTTTTTTCAATTTTTGTGCATTTATTACTCAATCTGTGAAGACGTAATCGTGAAGCAAAAATTCGTGATTCGAGGATTTTTCGTCGATTTTTGGGTGGAAAGTTTTGGTCGAGAAAAGGTACTCAATCTGAAATTTTGTGCATTGCGTTTTGAATTTGCGAAATTAGTTCGCGTATATTAGGGTTTTATTTTAATTTTTTTTTGGGATTGCTGGTCTAGTTTTTGTGTGTGAGCTGCTCTTTTTGAAGTGCAATTTGTGGTTTAGCTATATTATAGGTCATTAATGGCTAGCTGTGTAGGCAAAGCTGATGCATGATTGTCCTTTCGCATGTGCTAAGTGTGTTATGTTCTTCTAGTGCTGATCATGAACTTGAAAGTCGAAATTGAACCAAATTTTTTATTTTGCAAATCTGTTTTTTTTTTTTCATTGTAGGATTTATGTCTCCGTGTGTCGAGATTGGTGAATCGAGTTAATGTGGAGTTTGGGTTCTGTTGAGCTGGTTTTTTCTTGATTGTCCGATTTTCGGCATGATCCTTGTAGTGTTGTTTAGTTTGGCTGAAGGTTATCTAGCAGCCGGATAAACTTTTTATTTTCTTTTTATCTTTCTTTTTGTTTTCCCGGTTAAGGATGAGTTGGAGAGGGGTATTAGTGTTGTTATTATGCCTTGCGACGTTTGGAGAATCAACCGATAGGTTGGCGAGATATTGGTCCACCGACTTGAGTGCTGGAACTTCATCACTCTACAGCTGGGCCGTCACGAGTGCTGCCATATTTGTGATGGTGGCTCTCCTTCTATCAATGTACCTTATCTTTGAACATTTAGCTGCGTACAATCAGCCAGAGGTCAGTATTGGGTTTCGCTTATCTTTCGCTGTTAAATCTGTCTGACCATCACATCTTACTGTGCGGTCAGTGCTTTCTTGAATCTATGCCAGGATCTGCAACTATACATATTAAGTATCTCTTATCATCAAATTAAGTTGGCCTAGTTCCTTGTTTGTAGCTTTATTTTCAATTTTAACAGTTATGCTCTCTTTTATTTCAGGAGCAGAAATTTTTAATTGGACTCATTCTTATGGTGCCTGTCTATGCAGTGGAATCGGTAATAACAACAGTTTGCATATACATTGAGAACATTGTGACCAGTCGTGAGCTGAGAGTTATCCGTGTTGAAAAAAACTATCTGATGTTGTTAAATAGATACGTGCCTCTTGGGATACTCTACCCCCTTTCTCCCTTTTGGCCCTCTTTGGCTACTTAAGCATATTTGGCACTGAGAAATTTGAAAAGTTTCCTTGAATCTTGAGGTTTTTTTATGTTTAGTCTATGTTTTACTCTTAAAATTGTACTTCTAAGATGATTGTAAGCACGAGATGTTCTACAAATTGACATTTTGAACACTCTTTGTGGACTAGAGTGTGATTGGATAGCAATTTTTTAAGGTCTATTTTCAGGTCGTGTCCTTTTATTCTCTGGTCGGTACTCATTCAATTTCTTAGTCACATTTTTGGTTTTGTGAACAGTTTGTATCTTTATTGAATTCTGATGCTGCATTCAACTGCGGAATTATAAGAGATTGTTATGAAGCGTTTGCATTGTATTGCTTTGAACGATATCTCATAGCATGCTTAGGTATGTCCATTCTGTGCAACTCTTTCTTGATGTAATTCCATTTTGTGAGTTTAGTTTTCATTTTTTGCTTGTACATGGCTAACCATTTCTTTAAATTCCTCATGTGTTTTTCTAATTTGGGGAATTATTTAATGTGTTGCAGGTGGAGAGGATAATACCATTGAGTTCATGGAAAAACAGACATTGGCCACGTCCAGCGTACCTCTTTTGGATGAGACTTATGCTTATGGAGTTGTCGAACATCCGTTTCCTTTGAACTGTTTTTTAAGGGATTGGAATCTTGGATCCGACTTCTATCAGGCCGTGAAAATTGGCATCGTTCAATATGTACACACTCCATTATGAAATATTCTGATCACGTTTTGTTATCTCGTTATGCGATAAATGTAACCTGATGCCTACTTTTGCAGATGATATTGAAAATGATATGTGCCTTCCTGGCGATGTTCTTTGAGTTTTTAGGTGTTTATGGGGATGGGAAGTTTGAATGGAATTACGCGTAAGTTATTGTTATCATTTTCTTTTTACTCGCGCTGCTTGACAAATTTGTTCACTGTCTGTGTTAAAATCTGAAATCTTGTGCTTTGCCTGCAGCTATCCATATCTTGCAGTGGTTCTGAATTTCAGCCAGACTTGGGCCTTATATTGCCTAGTGCAGTTCTATTCCGTTACCAAGCATAAGCTTGCACCAATTAAACCTTTGGCCAAATTTCTGACGTTTAAGTCTATTGTATTCCTGACATGGTGGCAAGGTGTTGCTGTTGCCTTTCTTTTCTCTTTTGGAGCCTTAAAAGGATCATTGGCACTCGCTCTTAAAACACGCATACAAGACTATATCATCTGTATTGAGGTCCGTGATAATATTTCTGCTTCAAATTTCTTGGCTATTATTATGTATGTGTGTTCATGTTTCTTTCAATCCAGTTGATTATGATAGTAAAACCGGATTTCCTGAAGATCATACTGGATTTATTATTCTTCAGTTCAAGATTAAGTTGATCTCATCTCTTTCTCTCTCATCAGTTAGTACCCTTCAAATAAGTTTTTAGTTTTTTTATTAGCAAGCTTTGATGTTGTGATTCAGATGGGTATTGCTGCTGTTGTACATCTATTTGTATTCCCAGCGGCTCCTTACAAACGTGGGGAGAGATGTGTGAGAAATGTTGCTGTGATGTCAGATTATGCATCTTTAGGGACCCCACCAGATCCGGACGAGGTTCAAGACTCCGAAAGATTCACGAGGATTCGATTTTCCCGCCATGAGGAGAGAGACCAACGCCCGAGGCTCCACCAAAGCGTTCGTGATGTGGTCTTAGGAAGTGGGGAAATTGTGAGAATCAGTCTCCCTTGCTATTTGTTCTTTAATATATAAAAAAAAAGGTTACAGCTTACACCCTTTTTAGAATTCCGAATTGCAAATAGCCCTGCCATTTATTCTAGACTATGTATTATGTGCACAACTTTTTTCATGTCGGTCCCGTAATTTGGTGAAAATATGATTGGATTTTTTCGGGCCTTAAATATATGAGGCCAAGGCTTGATTTTGCCCACCTCCTACCTAGACCCATTTTGTTAGATTGCACGATGATTTTTCCAATCTTGACCCCTTTTTGCTATGGTTTTTGCTTCCGTAGATTGTGGATGACATGAAGTTCACGGTCTCGCACGTGGTAGAACCGGTCGAAAGAGGGCTAGCGAAAATCAACAGAACTTTCCATCAGATATCCGAAAACGTAAAGAAGTACGAGGAGAGAAAGAAGAAATCCAAGGACGACAGCCATCTCGTCCCTTTAAACTCGAGGACCAAAGAATTTTCGGAGGTGCATGACGAGCTCATTGAAGGGAGCGCCAGTGACAGTGGTTTATATGATGCGAAGAGAACGCATCATAAAGTTAAAGGGTCCTCTTCCCAGTTGAAATACAGATAACATTTTTCATCTGCTAACCTCGCTCTTATATATAGTTTTTGCAGGAAGATATATATTTACAGTATCTGCAAGTACAAAAATCAAGGGTCCTAACTGTAGGCATCGGTTTTAGAATGTTCGTAACTCTGGAGATGCTTCTGAAAGTTTTATTATTCTCTGGGTATATAGCGGAAGAGGTTTTGGATTGCACATAATACAGATTGTGCAGAAATCGACCGGGCCTTTCCTTAGAATTTTGGCAAACTTTTACATTGTAAACATGCATTATTTTCATGGGTGAGAACTGGGAAGTGCACTTTGGGTGGTCTTGTGCAGTTAAATTGGCTTCCTTCTATTTGCAGATTCAAGAACTTGCAATAGTTTGATTATTGTCAACCATCATGAGCAAGAAAAAGTACAAAAATTATCTTTGAAATCACATTTAATTGGCTTCCATCACATTTTTAAGTTGCAAAAATGATTTTTTTTTTCTTTTTTTTGGCAATTTTGGACCAATCACCATTAATAGCTAACGGTTTAAGTTAGTGAAAACTCATGTAGACTCGTTTGCAAAAATTCTATGGAGCCATCAGATGATATTCTTATGGAGTTATCCACCACTTAATGTGTTGACACCTGTCCAAATTATATTTATTGTAAGACACGTGTCAATACACTATTGGTGCATAAGTGTGGATGACTCTATAAGTCGAGCCATCCGATGAATTTATAGTAAAACTGAACTCGTTTAATAAACCTAATACTAAAATGACCTATTCTTGAAAAATCTTGGCTTGGCTATTTATTCACAAACGAACAGCGACAAAAGTCAAAACAAGTTGTTTGCGAACAAGTTTGACTCGACACGCATAAACTACCTCGATTAAGTATTCGAGCTCGACTAATCTAAACAATAGACGAGCTGACCTCGAGTTTTCATGAGTAAAACATAATATACATAAATCGATTCGAACAACAGTTCGGAACTCGAGAAGATGCAACAAAGACTTGCAGTTGTTTGGGTTGGGCTTTTCATCTATTTATTGGGCCTACCACAAATAGGGTACATCTAGGGCTTCGTTAAGCTCCACTCGCCGATAATATAAAGCCGACTCGTCTCATTTTTCAGTATCTCACAAAAGCTTTCCTTGTAACTTCTCCTTTCATCATTTTATTTTTTTTTTATTTTAAATAATAATATTTCAATTAATTTTTGCCATATTACATTGATTTTTATAGGATTTTGTGATATGGGGGTTGTGATGATAATTATAGAGAATGTCATGCACCACTCTGAATATTATTGTGATGATATATTCTCATATACCCATAAAAATTCTGAGCCTCTTTTTCTTTTTAATAATAATAATAATAATAATTATAATAATTTTTGTTTGAAATATGAAAATCACTTGTTATTTCGGTTACTAAAAATTTTTTATTTGTTTTTCAGTGATTTTTTTTTTTTTTTT